CCTGCCTCAGCCTCCCAAGTAGCTGGGACCACAGGCACCTGCCACAACGCCCGGCTATTTTTTGGTTGCAGCCATTATTGTTCTTTGGCGGGCTCGGGCTGGATTCGAACCCACCACCTTGGGTGTATGTGGCTGGCGCCTTAGCCGCTTGAGCCACAGGCACTGAGCTTGTTATTTTTTTCTGAGACAGAGTCTTGCCCTCGCTGAGCACCAGTAGTGTCACAGGTCACAGCAACCTCCACCTCCTGGGCTTAGGCGATTCTCTTGCCTCAGCCTCCCAAGTAGCTGGGATTACAGGTGCCCGCCCGCTGCAACGTCCGGATTTTTTTTGTTGCAGTTTGGCCAGGGCCGGGTTTGCACCTGTTACCCTCAGTATATGGGGCTGGTGTCCTACCCACTGAGCTACAGGCACTGCCCTTTTGTTCTTAAATTCTACTTATAATGGACACCCTAGACTGTGCGTGTGTGTGCACATGTATTCTGCAGGGAGTCACAAAGTGGCTGGGGTTTGGTTTTCTGAGCAGGTTTCCAGAATGCTCTGAGCACGTTTGATCCCCAGGAGAAAACACCTGTGTCAGGACTTGCTGTCTCCCCGTCAGCTCAGCCCACTTCTGGCCAGAAGTTCTAGCCACGCCTTCAATTCAGCATTTGGAGACCCAGCAAATCGAAGTGTGGGTTCCCTAAGAAAAACAGGAGCTGATCAGCAACATGGAGAAAAAAAAGGGTGGCCTTTGAAAAAAATTATTATTTTTTTCTTTTCTTTTTTTTTGCAATGTTTGGCCAGGGCTGGGTTTGAGCACACTACCTCCAGCATATGGGGCCGGCGCACTACTCCTTTGAGCCATAGGCACTGCCCCTATTTTCATTTTTTAAAATTTTATTTATTTTTATTTATTTATTTTTTTTTGAGACACAGCCTCAGCTGTTGCCCTGGGTAGAGTGCCATGGCATCACAGGTCACAGCAACCTCCAACTCCTGGACTAAAGCGAGTCTCCTGCCTCCACCTCCCAAGTAGCTGGGACCACAGGCGCCCACCACAACACCCAGCTATTTTTTGGTTGCAGTTGTCATTATTGTTTGGTGGGCCTGGGCTAGATTCGAACCCGCCAGCTTAGGTGTATGTGGCTGGCGCCTTAGGCACTTGAGCCACAGGCGCCGAGCCATTTTTTAATTTTAATTTTATTTTTAAAATTTTATTATTATTTTTTAATTTTAATTTTTTTTTTCATGTCAGATGGGTGTTGTGCTGACCTAACAAGATTTGTGGGAGGCACATCTCATGCATATGCGTGAGAGCCCAATCATCACACTTAGGAACTACAAAAGGATCTCATTTTTTTTTTTTTTTTTTTTTTTTGAGTTGGAGCCTCAAGCTGTCCCCCTGGGTAGAGTGCTGTGG